TATTAATTATAAGATTATTATACAATTATAAGTTATAAAAATTTAAAAATTAATAAAAAATTTTTCATCCAATACAAAATATATTTATTTTAAAAGAATAATTATACTTTTAGCTAATTTTTAATTTACACAACTAATTTCTTTCATCAAGTTTTAATATGTGCTCATAATTCAACACTTTTTTAAGGAAAGATTACGAAGAAAAAATATTAAAATTGACAGATCTTCTTTTGGATCCCATGGACGATTGTAAGATGAATTATCGTACCACTACGAGCAGTGATTATCGGTTGCCTTATCCTCTGAAACCAAAACCACCACCATCACCACCACTACCTGAGCCGTGGTTATTAAATCGTCGTACTATTGGTTATAATCTTCAGGATTTGGAAAATCGTTGCGGATATCATACATTTTTAGATGATAATATGGATCTTCATCAAAGAATAGCAGAATTGAAAATGCAAAGAAAGCAATTGTATGAAATTTTAACAAATAGTAAACATCAACAAAAATCTATTAATGATTAAAAAATTTCATAAAAATATAAAAATATTTAAAACTTTTGACTTATGAAATAGATTTATGTAAGCTAAAATGAAAAAAAAATTATTTATTACAAAATTATTTAAAGTGTTAGATAAACCTAAGCTAGAATATCTTGAATAAATTAGGGATAATGAGAATAATATGCAGAATAAATGTAATAATTATCTTTATTTATTTTAATAAAATACGTAAGAACTAACAGAACATTTTTTGGCGAGTAAGAGCTGATTATTTTCGCACTTCATCATATATCAGTTCCAGTATATACATTTTAATACACAATATTATTTTAATATACAAAATAATACACAAAAAAAGTTGAATCAGTTAAAATTAGTGGTTTTTTAAACAATGTCAATTTAATTTTTTCCAAGTTTTAAAATTTTATCTTCACAATTAATAAAAGCATTGTGTTGTAATAATAAAAAAATATAATAGAGTAATAAAATTATAAATTTGAGATAATGAAATTGCCAACGTATTTTTGAAAAGCGTAGATTAAATTCACGGTATGAAAATCAAAGATGAAGAAACTGGAGAAGGTAGAATAACGTGACACAATCATAATAGCTGCAATGTAAAATATATTCTATCTACATCTAGCACACGAGTGTGAACGATCACTATTTACGATGTAGAGAGAAACCCGACATGATGGTGTTTTACTCGATATTTCTGCCAAGTCGCGAATGCCCATATTCCTCGTCATCCCCGTTGAACCGCTTGCCGAATCTCATATGACCATAATCGTCCAGCTGCTGGCGCTTGCTGAGTCGTAGATTATCCTCGTCCTCGCCGACGAGATCCTCTACAAGGTCTTTTACGAGACCTTCTACAGCGAACCTGTAACAAAGCACGCGATATATAGTCAAAATATCATTCATGCTTATTTTTAATAATTCTTTAACGTATGCTAAGTTTACATCGACATGTATATCTTATTTTATCATTCAATTCTTCAGTTTGATTTGTAAGTATACTCGTTTATTAGATCAAAAGGTTTGATAACTGTGATTTTGTTATCTATAGTGACAAGTATAATCTTTTATTTCATGTAAAACACAAAAATAATTTACATATATATATATATAT